GGATTAGAAGTCCGGACAACATTCTTTGAAAATAAACCAACTCTTTGTCCGGTTTAGCAATCCGGTCATTATAAACACTTAAAAATACAATCTTTGTCCWRTATAGAAATCYGGACRCCASTTCACTTCCTTTGTCATCCGGTTTAAGTTAAACCGGACAATATACAATTTAACCTTTGAGCRGTTTAATATAAACCGGTCAACACACSGTACAACTCTTGACCGGTTTAGCAATYCGGTCAATACATCACATGATTCTTTAAGCGGTTTACAAATTATCCGGTCACCTCTTGCYCGGTTTAAAACATAATYCGTTTACTTCTTGTCYGGTTTAATAGATATCCRGACAAAGCACATCCGGTTTAAGTATCYGGATTACAATCCGGACACCACTTGGCCGGTTTACACGAGTATCATCATAAAATGCATCCAAACTCATAATAAACAGATCTAAATGCTTCTCAMTTTGTATGAAAGYWATTCATATTCAAAGCTCTATACACTCACCTTTTGAAATGAGATTCAAAGCTTTTAGAGACTTTCCTCTTCCTGTGCAGATTCTTCAGTATTTGAGAGAGAATTTCAAMAGTAACAAAAGTGAATGACAGCCTTTTTCCTTCACAAAGGCTTTTTATACCACAAATTCACAAAGAAGGTTATGGACGGCTCACTAGCCGACCTACATTTTCTTCTTTTTAAAATAATCACTACACACACACATATATCATACATACATATATATATTTTATATATATATGTATGTAACCAAAATAATAACCAGACTATTACAATATTCCCTCCTTAAAAGAATTCCTTCCCGGAATTCACTTAAGCAAACAAGTAATGATATTTCATTCGCATTTCCAACTCTGGTTCCCAAGTGGTATCTGACCCTTTATGATAACACCACTGAACCTTTACTAACCCAATCTCTTTATTTCGTAACTTCTTCAGCTTATAATCAGTAATCTGCTCAGGGGTTTCTTCAAAACATAACTTTTCATCTACCTTAATCTCAGGTAATGGTACTACCACATCTGGACTTATTAGACACTTCCTCAAATTTGACACATGAAACSTGTCATGTATTCCACTTAATTCTACCGGAAGTTCTAACTTATAGGCCACTTCTCCAACTCTCCCAATAATAGAAAATGGTCCGACATATCTTGGACTTAACTTTCCTCTCTTTCCAAAACGTATTATACCTTTCCATGGTGATATTTTCAACATCACTTTATCACCTATTTGGAACTCAATCGGTTTTCGACGTTTATCTGCATAACTTCTTTGTCTATCTTGTGCCGCTTTCATTTGTTCTCGTATTACCCCAATTTTATCTG